ACGTCGCCAACCGTGCAAAAAGCAGTTCTAAATAAATTATCTTTCAATTTAGACGTGTTCTGCAACGAACAGAAAGTCCACAGCCAAAGTATATTTTACTTGGCAGACTGAGCACAGCCTCCTTCACTGGACAGATTTCTTGCAGTTTGTAATTAGATCAGAACGAAACACAAAGCACGCTCCCAGAGTTGCACAGCGCTTGACCATGCAACAAGTTACAGCCACAAAGCGCTGCACAAGGCAGTAGAGACTTCTATTCCTGTAATGACAGGGTTGGGCCGAACTTCATACCTCGCCCCCCACCGAGTTTCCCCTCAGACCAGTGATTCATCTTCTGAACAGCAGCGCATCTGGGCGAGTGTGCAACTCATCTGAAAATGCGTCATTGCGAACTCTTCGTCATCAACGCATCATCAATGTACGCTGATTACCAGGGGCGCAGCTACCTCTTACAACGGGGGGTGGGCTATGCAAGATGCGACTCACTTTTACTGAAATAGCTACGGATATTTTAACACGTATACAATCATATGTAGGCTATAACTATATATAGTTGCACCGTGTATTGGGTTCAGCGGAACAGTCTCACAGTGACAGTATTAAAAGATGTCAAGGTACAATGCTCACAATTAAGTAGTCGTGCGTCTTGCTTTGATGTGCATGTCAGTTAGCAAAAAATCCTGGTGTTCAGTAACAAACACCAGCAGTAGCGCTACTAGATTTCACGCGAGGTTTTTTCGGAAGTATAATGTTTTCATTTGTGACAATGTTTTTACGCATTTATAGTAATTAAAAATATATATTTTTGTTAAAATATTTTGTCTTTACATTTTGTTACTTGTTTATCTGTTGATTAGGGGCCCCCTTGTGGCCGACTGGGTCCCTATGCGTCACATAACGCTGCCACAACTCCCCAACCATAGTTTCGCCCCTGGCCGCGACATTTGTGCAGAGCTGTTGTCTTTCGTGCAGCACCGGACAGAGCACCCTGCTGTGTGCGACGCGCAGTCATTAGGGGGCAGTCGCGCTACATTACTGGCACTGCCCCATGCTGGTCCACAGTACAGCAGTCTGCCAATTCAAGTCCATTAGAAAAAAATCAGTTCAGATATATGTATGTTGAACGTCTTTCAGATGGTACGTAGTCCGTCGTGCTAATCGGAGGTGTATATATGTTGACCTTCTTTCGCACCGTACGTAGCCAATTTTGCTCATCGGAGGTTCATGTATGTTGAAAGTCTCGCACAATACGTCGTCAACCGTGCTAATCGGAGGTGCGATATGTTTAGTCGTGGCCACTGAAACAGTTTTAGAGATATATCATTGCGTAATATACTTTCCTGAGCAAAGTATTTATTTGTAACCCAAACAACTACGCAAATCCCCTTGAAGTCGCCTTTTTTGGCAAAACAAACAGAGGAAACACTCAAAGCGCACGGCGACACATCGCATGCCACAATGAGGGACAACTCTCGTCGCCTTTCTCGCATTGCCTTTCTCGCATTGTAACTTGCAACTATGATTTGACAACGATAAAAATTGGCAAGTGTAATTGATCACTTTTTGTAAAGTTTTTTTTTATATTGCTGTATGTTTTGTTGTATATTATCAGCAGCGCGCACATCCTTTGGACGTAACCTCTCCTTCAGATACATTTCTGTGCTATGGTGGCCACAGATCCACCTTCCCTCAACCCTTCATGGCGCCTGCCTCCCCATCTGGCTCATTATGCACGTGGATAGTGAGTCTATTTAACTTAAACTATTTTTTATTTGACCAGGTAAGGCCCACTGAGCTGTATAGCTTTTTTTATATGACTTGGCTATCACAAATGATAGTTCAGCGAAGTGGCTTATCATCACGTATGAATTTATATCAGTCAAATATTTTGAACGCGTGACGTTGATTTTAAATGTGGAGAGAAACAAACCAGAGGACCCAGAGAAAAATTCCACGCGACCATGGGGAGAGAGACACGCAGACTCCAAATATACTATTTCTATCTTCTATTTTTATTTTACAAGGTAAGGCCCATTGAGCTATATTGCTCTTTTCAGAAGCGACGTGGCCACAAATAATAGCCCAATGAAATGGCTTATCACGTGATACATTTAAAGCAGCCAAATACTCTAAATGCATGTTTCTAAATGTGGAGGGAAAAATCGGAGGACCCGGAGAAAAATTAATGCCACCACGGGGAGAGACATGCAAACTCCAAATATACAGCAGGTGGCAGGGTCGGGATCGAACACACGACCTCCTGTATACCAGGCGAGGTAGTTAACATCTCCTAGCCATCGTGACGCCCACTGAGTCAGAGGAGGGCGCAAGATATTGCAGACAGCCGAGCAAGCCACTCCAATCCCAGGTAAACGAAACTAAACACCCTGTACAGTATAATACAAAATACATTATTACAACCAGCTGCGTTAAATCAGGAAGCAATCCCAAGCAAGCAGCTGTCATTTGATTTTGGTTTATTTCACGAAATTAACGATGTTTCACCATTCTTCTTATTTCGTATGGGGCTGATGGTGTAGATACAGAGCAACAACTGCAATGTCACATTCAGGTGATCAAGCCCAGACAACCGCGTCAGGAGCAGCAGAGTGCATCGTCGCTGTGATGTCTCCTTCGTATGTGTGGATCGGGTCATTGCGCGTTATATGTTGCATGGTCTATTCTGGATAACCACAGTCGCACACGACTGCTGGAGAGTTAATTTTACATTTGTTGCACCATTAACACGGGTGAATGTGTCTATATTTAAGGATGTTGTTTCCCGAACAAAGACAAAGATCCGTTGTGTAGCCTTACCAGACTGTTTGGGCAAGTGCTGTTAGCGAGCACCTATGAAGGCCGGCACGGCACACGAGGGGGTGGGTGGCCACTACCACGCCTGGCCGCCTTTGTCTCCCCATTGACGATGTTTACACACCGTATCATGTACTCATTTGCGGCTGAGTCGACCTCGAGGAGGCACAGGACTGGTTGAGATAATTGTCACCGGTATTGGCCGTGATTGGGAATCGAACCCGGGTGGCCGGGTTCGTAGCGCCGCACGCTAACCACGGCACTACCGCTCCCCCATGTTGTTTCCCACACACACACACGGGGTATTGCCTTCACGAAGATGGTCTCATGATTTGTGAAGGGCTCTGTGACCACCAGACCAGAGAAATACATCGCAGACCCTCTGCGAGCCGAGTTGAACGGAGGTAACACGTGACCGCGTATTCTCTGCGCTGTCGATTGAGTAGGCATACGCAATTGATAATCAACTAAATTTAATCGACGAATATTTTTACAAATGTATTTTGTATTATTTCATATGCTTATACCTGTTGATTGAATGTGTCCTCGATTATGAAACGTATCATTTTATTTGTTATATTAATGCGTGCAACAAACGTAATAGTTTAATTCCTACAAATTATTTCACATGTTGTCGACAATTAAGGAGGTATTACATAAGTTATGTATAATGTCGATAATTGGCGATATGTTAAATTTAGAGTATTTGGCTGCTATACATTTCCACATGATAAGCCATTTCGTTGAGCTATCATTCGTGGCCAGATCGCTTCTGAAAGTGAGCTACATTGTTCAGTGGTGTCTTACCTGGTAAAAGAGAAGAGTTTAGTTTTTAGTGTTTTCATACATTGTATTTAGCTCCGACATCAAGACTCGTTCTAAAATAATTATTACATTTCAACCCGAATAATTTCCTTCACATCTGAGTTGCGGATGAATGTTTACCCAAAAATAGTCCCAATAAAAGGCATCGCCCGCAGATTAGTTCCATAGCCTTTCCGTCACCTATATAATGCTATTGATATACAATGTGTTTTTCAATGCTATATTTAATTAACAACACACGAATGACATGTGATTAGTAAACAATGATTACCAATATGGCCACATGACTAAAGTACAGAACTATAGCCTTATGTTCATAGACCTTAGTAATGCACCAAACATTATATTTGTTCTCAAATTCAGGGAAACACTGGCTATTCTAATTAGGCCTAAATAGATGCATTGAAAAAAAATAACTCGTTTATTTAAATTATTAACACAATTGCATCCTTCACAGCTACTAATCGCAATCCCTGACAAAACCAGAACATAGCACGCGTATTTACATCATGGGAACTTTCATGCCAGTTTCAAAATATAAGAATTGATTTTACCCTTTCTAGCAATAAAACTGGTGTTAAAATGTTAAAACACCAAACAGAAACTTTTTTCAAGGAATCATGTCTGCATTAACCACACATACTTGTGGTGAACATGCAAACAAAAATATACTCTGGTAGTATATGCGTTGTTTTTGAAACTGATTGGTTCACACCAGAGACAGCTTTCTTTAGAGCCCAGTCTCAAACAGTGTTAGACGCCAAAAGACGAACAGCATAAAGACAATGCCACTGTCAGGACATTTTTAGATCGGAGTGAGCACACACACAGTTGAGTTAGGCAAGATAGGCCAATGAGAGAGAGTGAGTCGCGTGGGAGAGGACAGAGAGTTATTAGATAAAGGGAAGTTAATTAGGTCGGGTGGTGATAGCTGAGAGTGGGTGATGTGAGAGGGAGGGAATTGAGAGCAGATGAGGGAGAGGGAAGCGGGAAAGCACAGGGGAGGCACGGCTGTGGACTCATGGTTGGCACTTGGTTAGTACTATATAGCAAATGAAACAGAGAATTATAAATCGGCACGATATATAGAAAAATAGATACAAATGTTTGCAAGCATGACTTATTTTCCCGCGATTCGCTACCCTGATCAGAAAATCTTGTGGGGTGGTGGTGTGTCAAAATCAGTTCTCGTGATGTCTCAAACGGTTGAAATTGAATGTCAGTTCACATTTATATTTAGAATTTTTTTATGAAAGGGTAAAACCTATGCTTATAGAATAATTAGGTATTTGATATTTTGGGCGCATCGTATCGAGTTTCTACTTTGGTGCACATCCAACGAAATTTCGATGCTTGTTTTTTTAAATGGACTCAACTTTATACTTTAACATTTTCACTAAACTCTGCCGAATCTCAGCCGTACGAAGGCCGTAAATAATTGGATTGAGCGCGGGAGGGAAAATGTAGTAGAGTGAGCTGAGGGTTGAACGGATCGTGATGGGGATGACTGTAGAGCTCGGAATGCGATGATGTAAGACCATGAAAAGGAAGAAGACATAGAAGGTAATGAGGACAAGGAAGTGAGTAACGCACGTGCTGACTGCTTTACGCTGACTTTTGCGCTGGTTGGACTTGTGGCAGTCGTAGAGAATGCGGACGTAGGAAAACACAATTATCCCCAGTGAGACAAAAACTGTTACAGCTGTAATAACGTACCCATATATTATGTTAATGGTTACATCTTCACAGCTCATTTTTGTCAATGACATAAAATCACAACTTGGCATCCATACAATTCTTGGCTTGCTGCATAGCTGAATAAGGCTTGCCAATACCATTTCTCCTGATAACATTAAGGATGAAATCACAACTAATACGAAGCTTATTTTAACAGCGAGTACAGACGTGAGGATGGAACTATAGTGGAGGGGTTTACATATAGCCACGTACCGATCCGCTGCCATTGCAGCCAATATAAAGCATTCGAATAGACTCGTGGTGTGGATGAAGCTCATTTGTATGACACAACCGGGAAAGGAAATTATATTGGTGGACACGAGATCATACATGATTCTTGGCAGCGTGTTGGTGCTCACAACAATTCCATTCATGAAAAGTGCACACATGAAGATGTACATGGGCTTGTGTAGCTCTTCCTCTCGCAAGGTGGCCAGAACCAGCAATGTGTTTGCGATAAGAGTGAGGGCGTACATCACAAATATAAATGTGAACACGAGAGGCCTCGTGCTCTCCGGCTCGCGCAGGAGACCCGTCATGAAGATCATCCCTGGAGGAGTCATCTGCATGGCCTCTGTTACGTTCAGCTCCATCAGCCCAGGACACCTGTATGTACATATGAACAGAGAACTTTGTAAGTGTACCATACTGCTGTGTAAACAAAGGCACCACGGTGGCGAGATGTTAACTACCTCGCTGGGTATACAGGATGTTGTCGGTTCGATCCTGACCCTGACGCCTGTATATTTTAAGTTTGCGTATCTCTCTCCCTATGATCTCGTGGATTTTCCTCCGGGTCCTCCGGTTTTCTCCTCCACATTTAGAATCAACATGCGGTTAGAGTATATGGCTGCTTTAAATTTTCACGTGATGATAAGCTACTTCGTTGAGCTATCATTTGTGGCCAGGTCGCTTCTCAAAAAAGTTTGATATCTCAGTTGGCCTTATCCTGGTAAAATATAAAACGAATAGTTTATAGTTAGTTTTTTAATTACACAAGCCCTAACCTAGAATAGAAAATAATCTCATCTAGCAATGGGATGATAGCCCCTGAGAGGACTCCACTTTGGACATGGAGCAATGAAATCAGCTTTTATGGATTTTTGCATCAGAATAATATTTTGGCGATGGATTACAGAGGCATTAATTCAGCAATCGGTAGATCCAGGTTGATGATAATGATGATGATGATGTTTAGCAAGCCTGCCTCTGCTGATGAGAAAGTGAATGGCAAAGTCGATCCAGCCTTTTCTTAAACTAAGCTTTTTTCTTTTTTACCAGGTAAGGCCCACTGAGCTATAAAATTATTTTTCAGAAGCGACCTGGCCACAAATAATAACTAAACGAAGTGGCTTATCCATGTAGAAATGCATAGTAGTGAAATAATGTAAACGCATGTTGTTGATTTTAAATGTGGAGGGAAAAAAATCCACGCCACCACGTGGAGAGAGACATGCAAACTACAGATATATACAGCAGGCGTTAGGGTTGGGCTTGCATTGAACCAACGCTGATGAAGAATATTTACTCCGAAAGAAAAATGTAGGTGATTTAAAATATTTACTTTTATTTTTTATCTATGGAGGGAGGTGTATTTTATTCGGTCCACTTTTAATAGCAGTGCTATGTATGTAATATACTCTCCTCAGTGTTCCAGTTTTGTCCACGTGACAGATTTATCCAAATGTTGAGCGAACTTGTTGTACAAGGCCTATTAAGCTATTCTAATATTTCCTCCACTTCATATCCATTGGACGTTAAATTATTATGTTGTCAGCAAATCGGAAATGGTTCGTGATCTCTCCACATTTTGTACGCCTTCGTTTCTCAATATCCGTTTTCGGAAGAAAAAAATATTATAATGTCACTGTGAAAAACTTTGGCGAAGCGTCCCACTTTTTCTGATTCCCCCCCAAATGTTGGTATTTTATTTGTTATATCTAAATCTTTGTTTATAATTTAGGACTCGAAATGTGAGAGCTTAGCTGGCTGCATCATTGTTTATTGGGTATTATATTTTTTCATACTCCACAAAGGCTCGGCACAGTGGTATGCTGAGTTTTCGTGAACTTTTGTAAATTGTGTGATGTTGTTGTTGTTGTTGTACTTCTTCATTGTGTATATTCTTATCAAATTTTCGGAAAAAATGAGCCAAAGTTCTTTTCAAACAGCACAGCTATTAAACGCATGACTCTAGATCATTAAACACAGCCTTTCTTTCTTTAATGAACGCAGTCGTGTACACACATAAAGGTTGATTTACTTTTGGGTTAGGACTTCTGGTTTGTACTAGAGTTTGGCCTGATGTTCATGGTCAATGATATAGTTAGGTTTTATAGGTAATTATTGGGATTATGGTTAGCGATGGGGATAGTGGTTTGAAAAAATAAAACAGGTGTTAAGATATTCTTGCTTATTTCGGTAAAGTGACGTAGATAGAAAAAAAGTACAATTAAAATTAAAAATAAATTAAAAAGTAAAAGCAAAAAACTACGATGTTTAAACCACAACACAAGCGGTCTTCATCAGGTGGAGAGAAAAGAGGCGGCAAGCCTCCAAATGCAACTGCTTATAAAGGCTTTCAAAGTGAGCAAAGCTGTGCATGTAAACAGTATGGGCTGGGCAGCCAGCACCAATGTAGGAACAAAGCACCAAAGTACAACTAAAGCAGTGCGTTAGACAATGGGGGGAGGAATAGGGTAAAGATAGGGGGGAGAGAGAGGGGGGGGGGATAGGGGGAGGGAGGGGGGTAGAGATGGGGGGGGGGCATTGCACCTCACTACACCCATCCACACTGCTGACGATAGAGTTTGACAAGAAAACACAAATCAAGTCATGACCCAAAGTGGTTGATGGCATCTTTACAATGATTGCTGAGTTTAAAACCATCGTCTCGTTTGAAATTGTGTCTGTGTCTGTATATATGGATGGCTTCGTGAACGAATCTTTGTTGATAGCCAGTTGGCTTGCTAAGTACCATCGTCTTAGAGAAATACATTTCACGTGAGCCAGCCGCATTAAAGTAATGATCAGCCACGGCAGAAGTGTTGGTCCTGCCGTGTTTCAGATCTGCCTTATGTTCACAAATACGGTCCAAGACATGTTGTTTAGTTTCACCAATGTAACTGCTGCCGCAGATACAGCTTAGTTTGTAGACGCCGGGATATTGACAGACGACATTTCTACATCTGATCGGGAACATGTAGATAACATGACCGCTTCCGATGGTTTAAAGTCGGTTTTGGCTATAGGATTGAACTTCGCAGTCACCCTCAAACACATACCAGTGGATGACATTATTGCTCAGGTCGATGTAGCTCTTAAGGGTTTGGGACATATCGCTGCAGACGTGACAAGCTCTGAAATCGTTGCAACCCTCAAAAGTGCTAAGATACCAGTCAGCAACATCAGTAAGGAGGAGCGTTTTGAGTTATCTCAATTAAAATGAGGGAAGATATCATCATCCTCTCAGTCGACAAAGGCAATGCCACGGTCATCATGGATAAAAACGTGTACTATAACAAAATTCAGGACCTACTTAATGATTGTAGCTACACTAAAATTAAAACAGATCCCACCAATTGCCTCGTTACAAAAACGAACAGTATCATCACTGGTTCAGCTTCATTAATTGAACAAACCTAGCGGGTTTCCTTAAAATCGTCTGCTGCTACGATCACCCAGATTGTATGGCTTACCAAAAATCCATGAAGAAGGTACACCCCTTTGTCCTATCGTCTCCACCATTGGCTCACCCACCTACAAACTGGCCCAATAGCTGTCTGAGACCTTGCAGCCATTCACTGGTAAGATCACCTCTTCTTTTCTTAAGTCAGCTCAACTGGTATCGTCAATTAAAGACATCTCATTGTCCCCAGGTGATTTGCTCGTTAATTTCGATGTAGTTTCTTTGTTCACCGAAGTCCCTGTGCCCGGAACCATTGTAATTATTGAAGATTTGGTCCAACAAAGAATGAATGCTGATGTACCAGCCCTGGCGAGACACTATCTCACCAATACATATTTCACCTGGGGTGGAACATTCTACAAACAAACGGTGGCACCCCAATGGGTTCTCCCTTATCTCCGGTTGTGGCCAACATTTTCACGGAACAATTTGAGACGGACGCCATCCAGGCATCCACTGTATGCCCGTACTTGTGGAAGAGGTACGTGGATGACACAATTGTCATCTGGCCACATGGCCAACCGCCTCTAAAACAATTCCTCAACCACATCAATTCCATACACCCAGCAATCAAATTCACCATGGAAGTGGAAAAGGATGGTATGCTACCTTTCTTGGATGTCTTAATCAAAAAGAGACCAGATGGCTCAATGAGCCATTCTGTCTACAGGAAAGTTACCCATGCTGACGCCTACCTAAAACTTGATTCCCACCACCATCCATCCCAGAGGAATTCCCTCATCAAAACGCTACACCATAGAGCTCAATGTATCTCCGACCATAAACACCTAAACAGTGAACTCAAACACGTACACCAAACTCTCAAGGCGAATGGATATTCTGACTACACAATCCGCAAAGCCATCACCCCAAGGAGCTATCTGAAGATCCAATCAAAGCCATCACCTTGCAAAAAAATTTCCAAAATCTTGAACAAACACAAGATTCAGGTCCGATTTAACACAGTGCATACAATTTTTGACCTGATCTCATCTATGAAGGACAAGATTCCTGACATGCAATATCCCAGTGTCTACAAACTACGCTGTATCTGCGGCAGCAGTTACATTGGGGACACCAAACGACGTCTCAGACCGTGTTCGTGAACATAAGGCAGATCTGAAACACGGCAGGACCAACACCTCTGCCGTGGCTGATCATTATTTTAATGCGGCTGGCTCACGTGCAATTGATTTCTCTAAGACAATGGTACTTTGCAAGCCGACTGGCTATCAACAAAGATTCGTTCACGAAGCCATCCATATGTAGTGGAGTAACGCGCGCGTGGGGGGTTTGCAAACAGTATGCACGCATGTGTGAGCTGTGGACAGTGAGGTCACATCAGGGCGAACACGTGCTGCGAGAGAAAGCAACGAGAGAGACGACCAATTAAGATGCATAGCAGTGATTGGCTGGCTGAAAATGCAGGCGCGGAACTATCGCCAGGTTGGCGAGAGATTGAGGCAATAGCAGTGGAAGCCATGGGCGAGAGGCGACGAGAAGACGCCAGCTTAATTAGGGCATTTAATGAGGAGCAGGATAAAACGGGAACGTGTGAGGCAGAGGAGTTGAGTTGGTGGGAGTGAAGACAAGAGTGAACAAAAGAGAAGTCCAAGATGCCACTCTCCACACCTCCTCCTCTCCAGCGGTGTTGGCTGATCCCCCGCTGGATGCAAGGGCGAGGTTGGAGGAGTGAGGGTAGACAGGCTAGCACTAGAGAGGCTAGCGGAATCCTAAGTGTGAGTGTGATAAGGCTAGCAGTAGAGAAGCTAGCGGAGTATATTGTGAGAGGCTAGCAGTAGAGAAGCTAGCGGAGGATATAGTGAGAGGCTAGCAGTAGAGAAGCTAGCAGAGGATATAGTGAGAGGCTAGTAGTGGAGAAGCTAGCGGAGTGCATAGTGGGAG